TTTTGCTTGACCCACACCCAGATTTTATACGATAAATTATTCCAATTTTTTTAAGATAATATTTCTATACCTGTGTCGGAGCAACCACTTTCTCTTGGTTCTTTCTATCATCATTAGTTTTTGGTTCCCCTTCACCTTGACTTGTTTTCCCAGAGGGTGATTCTTGACATGTCTGATTTTTACACACTTTATATCTCATCCAATAAAAAATTGAAATCCCTAGGTTGATGGCTTTGAATCACATATATGCAATCTCCACTTCTTTCCTGTAGGTAAGCTCAAGATATTTATATCTGATCACCACTTGGTGAGTCCCCAAAACCAAACCAACCAAACAAACAAACAACAAAAAAACAAAGCCTAGTCTTGCATTCTTCATCTCAGTGGTTATTTTTCTTATCGTTGCATATGTCAAAAGTTGATGAAACTCAACCAGCTCCAGTATGATGTAAGCTCAGCTCCAAGTCTCTGACCTTCCTCCAGAGCCTCATAAATAATTCTCTCTCAAAAGAGATTTACTTGCTGCAAAAAATTTTCTCTGAAACCCACTCAGGCTACGACTGAGGGGGTGGGTTTGCCCATTGAGGGCCCAAACAGAGCCCCAGCAGAAGCTTGCTCGCACACTGCAAAATGCTGCCATGCTACCAGCAGACTCCACTGTCCGAAGAATGAGTCTCACCCAGAAATTAACCTGCTGAGAATTTGGGTATGCAGACCTTTGTGACTTAAATATCTTAATTTTTGGGGGGTTGGGATGAGCTATGTTCTGCCACCTCCCTCACTTTCAGAAGCCCAGATAGTTCTATCCATACCACAAAGCCACCACCCAGTTAAAAATTTTACTCCAGCTGTATCACTAGTTACAAATTATGAACCATTTAGAGAAAGTGTTTGAGTGATATCTCCAAACTCTGCACCACCGATAATCCAGTAGTTCCACACCAGATAGGATGGGATGTCATGTAAAAAGCAACCAATCTCAACTAACACAACATAAACATAGAAGGCTTAACCTGTAACAACATTTTAGCTATCCTTCATTTAAGGACTTAATTCCTCCAGTGGTGAGGTACAACAATTTACACTAATTTTCTTCTAAGAAAATATTTTTTGATCATTCCACTAGCAATTTATTGATAATAAGCAATATAAAATAAATTATTGTGGGCTTGTTATGGTGGCAGGCTTCATGGTGGTTGGAAATATCAGAGACAATGGTAGAAGGAAGGTGACAATGGTGGTGGCACTGGTGTTGGAATATTGAATGCCTGTAACAAATTATTATGGATTAGTTTGCAAATCACTTTATAAAAATGTAGCACTGCAGCACTGTCCTCCTGTTGTTCATCAGTTTGCTTGAGCGGCACTAGTAACATCTCCATTGTGAGAAATGTAGGGGGGAAATTTATGTAAGTAGATCTTACCTATTTCATTTAAACTACAAAATACACTAGCACAGAATTTCTTTAAAGGTTTTATTAATCACAGGTGAGCCATTATTACCATAATTAGATCCAAATGTAAAATAAAATTTAATGCAGTTGTCTTTGACTACAGAGTTTAAAACTTACTTATGTAAATAAGAAGCATTTTATTATATTGTATTAAAGGGTTTTATTTTTATTTTGTTTACATAGGTTAAAGTAAAATATCACAAATTGGCTCTTGCTGATTTATTTTCTGATCATTATATTTGTCATTTCTTAGACTTTTGTTAGAACAAGTAATGTAAGGTAAATTCGGTATGTGCCTGAGGGGGCAAGTGGGGATGGGTGAGAAAATGGGGACTTGGGGAGAAAAGGTCACACTGGTGGTAGGATTAATATTGGACATTGGAAATGCCTAAAACAACTTTGTTTATAATGAACAACTTTGTAAATCATGGTGTTTTTAATAAAAATAAAAAATTTTAAAATGTCTATTTGTAAATAGAGGAATACTCTTTTTTCCTCATTAAATTTTTCCTCTCATTAAATACCCACTCCATTACTCCACTAACAGACTCTATCAACTTTACCTTTAACTGGTTTCAGAACTAGACCCCTAACCACCACTTCCTTCACTACAACTCTACTACACCCAACTCTACTGTAAACTATCATCTTGAAACTGCCTCATACTGGTCTCTAGTTCATTTATATCAAATTATACCTTACTTTTCAAACCGTTAATAGAGGGATACTAAAATTCAAATTTAATCATTTCACTGCCCTGCTCAGTTTCTCTAATATGTGTCCATCTGCACTGAGTAGAAGATGCTTCTTTGATATTATTTACCTCTCCACCACATCATCCCTTTGATTTCCAAGACATACTTACCTCCAAGTTGGCTCTTGAATGCTATAGAAATGCTGCTCCTAGGGTGTTTGACTTACTAAACCATCCATGTATAAGTCTCTTTCTCAGACATTCACATTGTACTCTCCCCTATTTACCTTATCTTCATTCAAGTGTTACTTTATCAGAGGATTTTTATTAGACTTTTCCCATTAGCACATCCCAATTCATTTTTATATCATTTTGCTATATTGAATTTTCTCCAAAACACTTTTCATCACCTGAAATTACATATTTCCTTGTTGATTGTCTGTGCCAATTACATGGAAAGCTTCAGAAAAGTAGGAACTTGGTCAATTTTGTTGACAATATGTCTCCAACCTCCAGGTAACTGCCTGGTACATAGCAGGCATATTGTCAACTTTTAAAAATGAGTTGATGCAGAAATGTTAACCTTTAATCATGTAATTGTTCTTGATCATTCAGTTAACTACCTGATTGAATGTGGCATATATGAACATTTTAAGGAAATATTTTTTAAAAATGTTTTAAAGAAAAATCATGGAATTTTTAAAGGCTCTGGTAATGGTTTATTTTCATTGATCAAGAGAATGTCATTTCTATAAAGAAGTGGCACAGTAGAAGCTATGCTGTGACTATAATATTTTTTCATGAATTTCACAGTAGATGAAGAGAGACTAAATGAGACAAATCCATACTTTGTTTTAACATGTTTTCCATTTTATTCAAGGTGTTAATTAAGAAACTGACAAGCTTCTAGTCTACTGTCTCAATTATTTAGTTAAAATGCTAACCAAGCCCTGTTCAAGTTTAAAAATGTATTGGTACAATTCAATAAAGAGGAGATGACAAGAGAAGGAAAATCAACTATACTAAATGAGTGCTAAAATTGCCTTTTATATCATGAAACTCAAATAATTGCAAACATCAATGTCGAGCACATTCTATGTAGAAATTAAAAGAAAAAGGCAATAAAAATGTAATACACCAATACATAAACACACAAATAAGTAGCTATCACCAGAGACTGAAGTAATTCAGTAAAAAATTACAATATATTCTTTGACCAATCAAGATAATAAGACACCACATACCTGAAAGCAAAAATAAGGAATAAAGGCAAATAGGATATGTTTGTTTCATAGTCTTCAAATTTTAAGTAGATAACAAATTCAGGTAGTATGAAAAGTTCACTGACTATGCTAAATCTAATACTTGGATAGTCTAATTATTTGCCTTCCAAAGGAGAGATCTAATTTGACTCATAATTTTACCCAGTTGAACTCTACAACTAGAACTTGGAATTCTGCTTACTTTTGAGCCAAAAATACTCTCCTTGAAATCTAAAACCAGGATCAAAGACAGAACTGCAATCATCCATACACAGGAGAAATTTACAGTGCATTGGAAGGCCCCTAATTCCCAGATTCTCTGCCAAACATAAAGGACTTAACCAGCCATTGCACTTACATTTCAATGCTTGAGAAAGGTAATATTTTATAATCTAGCATTTCTTTCTGGTTATTGTCTATAAGTAGAGAGCAAGGCAAGAAACAGGCCATTAAAGCCAAGACAGGTACTATAGTTAAAAATATTTAAATATACATAGAGACACTTGCTTCTAATGAATGACACACTAGTATAGTGAATTAAATCGACTGCATTTATTGGTGTCTGACTTTTATCCATATCTCTAATTTAAATAAGTAGAATAGAAAATAGTTCATTTTGACTTTTGAGACTACTTTTCCAGCATAAATAATCTATCAAACATAAAAATCTCATATAGTCTCTTTAAAAAAATAGCTTTACCATGTTGGTGTTATTAAAATGTGTGCCACAGATGCCACAGAATTATATTCTTATCTCTAATTTAAATAATTAGGATAAAAATAGTTCATTTTGATTTTTTAGAATATTTAGCCAGCAAAATCTATCAACATAAAGATATCATATAGTCTCTTTAAAAAATAGTGTTAGCATGTGATAACCTTATAATGTGTGTCAGATGCCACAGCATTTTCCAAGACTGGCTCAATGGCCCCCTGAAAGAGTAGACAGATTTCGCTGGCAAAATATCAGTGATGATTCCATCTAAATAAATTTTCAACCATAGGTTGATATATTTTACCTACACACCTGGAGGGTTCACACAGGACACTGGTCCCCCACCCAACACCCCACCCCACTGCTGATTCAGTTGGCCTGTGGGGGAACTGAGAGTCACCCCTGGTGGGCTTGGGGAACCATGTGGGGTACCAGGGACTGAACGTGGACCAGCAGTTTGCAAGGCAAACACCCTACCACTGGACTATCACTCTGGTCCCAAAATAATCCAAATTTTTAACAAATCCTCAGTGATGCTGAAGCTACCAGTCTAGGAATGACACTTTTAGGACTGCTCTTTATAATAATTAATTTATATGTTACTTAACATGTAATGAGAGCTTAGACTCCAGGTCAGACATGATACTTACTAAAATTCTTTTCAAGGCTCTCTCACAGAAACAATTCTTGAAATCAATTTTCTATTTTTTCCTTATAGAGTCAACAGTACTCTGGTAACTACAAATCATTAACACTATTTGCATTGCATTTTGGTTTCACTGGGCCTGAAATAGCATGTTTCCTATTTCTTACGAGAAGGACTATAAATTCCTATGTATCCCCAATGCCCATGATCCTATGATAACACTCCCTAGATCAGGATCCATGACTCTGGGTGACAAAAGCCATAGCTACATGTCTCTACCAAGCAGGTCAATCTCATCCAAGAGGAAATCCATGTCCTCTCTGCTAACTTGAGGGCTGATCACCACCTGGCGGAAGAAGTTGACTTTCCCCCGGTGGGGTTGGTAGCCAAGCATCAAACTTCCCTTCTTCATCATCCTCTCCTTTATAACTGGTGCAACCTGCAATGGTGAAGTGAGGAGAGAAGATGAAAGACCAGAACATGAAGGATTACAATATCACTGTACCCAGTCATTTGATATTCATTGACATCCACTGGCGTTGGTACCACTCTCATGTGCACAGTAGGCCAATGTGAATAATAATACTCTATTGGGAAATTACAGCAAGTGAAGATGGATTCCAGTGAGTTAAGTGTTTTTAATTCTCTTAATTGTCACAACAAATCCCCCACCCCAAGGGAGATACTACTAATGTCTGTGAGTAATACATAAAAATGAGGGAATTGAGGTGCAGGGCTTTGAAGATTAAATAGATTAAATAACCAAAAACATATAAATATTTAAACTCCTACAACAAATATTAACTCAAGAAAAATGAATGAAAGAAAAATACACCTACACATTTCTTTACATGAGTATTTTTCAGACATTGATGTAAGTACAGATGTAAATATAGGTACAGAGCTAGGGAGAAATCTTATTAACTGTTAAATCCAAATAATGGGTATATGACTTTTTCTTTTACCAAGTAACCTGGCTCACCCTTAAGTGTGCTTGAATGTTTTAAAATGGAATAGTTAGGAAAAAAGTTTTTAAAATTAATGTGCCTTTCCTTTTGGAAAACCATATGGATGATTCTCAAAAAATTAGAAATTCAGCTCCCATTTGACCCAGCAATGCCACTCCTGGGGTATCCCAGAGAGGCAAAAAAGTATAGTTGAAGTGACATCTGCACTTGTTTTTTCATTGCAGCCCTGTTTACAGTAGCCAGAATCTGGAAAAAAACCTTAGTGCCCGAGAACAGATGACTGGTTAAAGAAACTTTGGTACATCTACACAATGAAGTACTATGTAGGTGTTAGAAAAGATGAAGTCATGAAATTTACATACAAGTGGTACTCCATGTAAAGTATCATGCTAAGTGAAGTTAGAGAGGGACAGACCTACAAAGATTGCATTCATCTGGGGAACATAAAGTAACAAATTAGGAGACTAACACCCAAGAATAGCAGAGATAAGTACCAGGAGGTTTACTCCATGGCTTGGAGGCCAACGACACATGTTAGGGGAAATGGCAGCTCAGATAGAGAAGGGAACACCAAATAAAAGTGTTGGGAGGATCCTCCCAGGATGGGAGATGCATGCTGAAAATAGGCTATAGACCGAACATGATTGTTTCTCAGTGCCTCTTTTGCAAACCACAGAACCCAAAAGTGGAGAGAGAACAAAAGGGAATGCCCTGCCACAGAGGTGGGGTGAGATGGAGAGGAGGAGGGGGAGGAGGGATACTGGGATCATTGGTGGTGGAGAATGGGCACTGGTGGAGGGATGGGTACTCGATCGTTGTATAATGAAACCCAAGTACAAAAATTTGTAAGTCTGCAACTGTACCTCATGGTGTTTCACTAATACAAATTTTAAAAAAATAATTAATGTGCCTTTGGGAATCACAGTCTCAAAATTGTCAAATGATGTATTCCCAAATTTACCTAAACTAAAGAGTTTTCCAGTTCATGCACATTGAGTAAAGCTGTCATAAATGGAAAGAAACCACAAATAAGTATTCATGAATTTATGATACCAAAGAAAATATTAATCCAGGTATTAGGTGTAATTTTAATCTGATTATTAACACTTATTAGTTTAGTAATGGAACATATGTGAAATATAAATATATTGTCTTTTATTCAGGGGTGTAAATTTAGAAATAACATAAAGAAGCCTATGGTTTTAGAGATAATGAGAACAATGAGCCCTGATAATCCAAATGTGTTAATATTTCTAAAGGTTTAATGTTCGCAGAAATGCAGAAAGTAGTACAATTTAAGAATCACAAGGGAAAACAGCTCATTTTCAAATCAGTGTGACCACCAAGAAGGTTAAAAACTTTTAAAAATAGTAAAGTTAATTTTTGAAAACTAATGTATTCTTCCTCTTTTGGAAACACAAGCAAAAGTGTCCCACTGTATTTTAACTCTTTAAAACTGTCCTAGTGTGTCCTAGGTGAATGTGTGAAAAGAGAATATAATGAGTTTCTATCCCCAGGAAGATGAAATTTTGTTCCTCCTGAGGAAGGCATGCATACATAAATGACACTCAACTTGGTGTGCTTTAAAAGGTATTATGTAGACAAGTGTCATAAATCTCAGTTCCCTTGTGCCTCTCTCATATTGTATCATTCCCACCCCACTCTAATTTTTAAGTTTCCTATATTTTGTTAGACACTTCCCTCAAGACAAGCCAAACTGCTTCACCTGACACTCAACATAATCTTGATCTGTTTCAAAGCTTATGAAAAGAATTGGGTGTTTCAAACCTCTGATGATAAACTATGCTGGAGTCAACCACAATGTCTCCCCAAGGCATGAGCAAGAGTAATTTTACCTAAATCCTGTTTTTCCCTCTCCTCATTAATTTTATAACTGAAACCCTTATAAAACATGAATTATGCTGTGCCAACAACAGCAAATGAAATGCCAGGTAACAGCAATCACTTTGTCATTTTAGCAAAAGATTGGTAGTATAAGGAAATATTAAAAGAAAATGTCAGTATTTTTTTAAATTTTTTCCCTTTATTTATTTATTTTTTTTACAGTTGTAGATTTACAATTTTTTGTGCTTGGGTTTCGATTATACAATGATCAGATACCCATCCCTCCACCAGTGCCCATTTTCCACCACCATGGATAATATCCCCCCACCCCCATCCCCCCATCCCCCCATCCCCCCTGTCTCTGTGGCAGGGCAATCCCCTGTGTTCTCTCTCTCCTTTTGGGTGTTGTGGTCTGCAAAAGAGGCATTGAGTGGCAAACATGTTCAGTCCATAGAAAATGTCAGTATTTTAAAGAGAAAAGGATGCAGATAAAGTAGATAAGGGGCTCCAGCGCTAGTATAGTGGGTGGAGAGTTTGCCTTGCATGTGGCCAATCCAGGTTTGATCCCCAGCATCCCTGAGCTCCACCAGGCTAAATCCTTGGTGCAAAGCCAGGAGTGATCCTGGAGCATTGCCAGGTGTGGCCCCCAAAACAAAAAACAAAACGAAAAAGTAGATAAATAGGAAATGAGTTAGTGTAGTGAAAAATTGTGAATTCTCAGTTTCAATACATTTCTGAAAACATGTCAGATACTTTATTCTGATCTTTTTAGGGACACAAATCAGGATTAAACAAACATCATCTCTAATTCCTCTGCAAATCTTAATAACAAATGTCCAGTGGATGCTGAAAGCCAAAAGTTAGTAGACACCTCTCCACTGTACCTATGCTGCACTCTACTTGTATATGCACTGGTGCAATACAGTATACCTGTTCATATCTCACTGGAACCCTTGAATTTGTATGTGCCAAACATCAGTTTATTTTTTTTAATGTAGGAGTACTGCTATTTATTCAGCCACTGATTAGCTGATTGAATTGGGCATAAACTCCACCTTGCTTTTTTTTCATAATTTTTTTCTTATATTTATTTATTGAATCACTGCAGGAAAAGTTACTAAGCTTTCAGGTTTAAATCTCAACCATACAATGATCAAACACCTTTCCCTTCACCAGTAATCATTTTTCACCACCAAGAACCCCAATATACCCGCCTCCCACTCCTCCCAATGCCTGTGAGACAGATGATTTCTACTTACATTCATTATTTCGACAAAAGATGCACCATTATTGTTTAGAATTTCTCCCCCCAACAATCAGAATTGCTGAAAAGGCATTGTGAAATACTTTGTTTTCTATAGCAGGTTATGAGAATCATATAATGCCATGCAGCCATGATGGATTTCTGCAAAGAGCCAGATAATTACGAGATTGGTTTCTGTGTGTCTGGTGTTATGGCTGTGCCAGAAAGCCACTCGGGGCAGGGGGCGGGGGGCAACTTATGACCTCAATAGGGTGTGAAGGACAAGCCGGTACCGTCCCCATTCACATGAGACTGCAGTTGCCCCTTCACCCCTGGCTCATACCTGGCTTTCCAATAAGCTCTGAGGTGGCGGCCACCTTGCTTCCAGGGGAGAAAAAGGCGAAGGGAGCAAAACCCTTTCCCTCCCGGGGAGGCATGGCGCCGTAGTTTAACGCATGGTCAATTCACTTTTCTGCCACAAGATGCCAGGCTCTGGATTAGGTTCTTTTGCCTCTGGAGCCATGGCCATGCTGGAGAGCTGCTTGTGGGGGGCAACTCATGACCTCAGTAGGGCATGAAGGATGAGCCAGTACCGCCCACCTTCCCATGAGACTGCAGTTTCCCCGTCAACACTGGCTCATACCTGGTTTTCCAATAAGCTCTGAGGTGGCGGCCACCTTGCTGCCGGGGGGGGGGGGGGGAGGTGGAAGGGAGCAACACCCTTTCCCTCCCAGGGAGGCATGGCACTGTAGTTTAATGCATGATCCATTCACTTTTATGCCACAAACTGCCAGGCTCTGAGTTAAGTCCTTTTGCCTCTGGAGTCATAGCTGTGCTAGAGAGCCACTTATGGGGGGACAACTCATGACCTCGGTAGGGCGTGAATGATGAGCCAGTACTACACCCCTTCCCATGAGACTGCAGTTGCCCCATCACCGCTGACTCATACCTGGCTTTCCAATAAGCTCTGAGGCAGTGGCCACCTTTTATGTGGTCCAGATGTATTTCTGCCAAAAGATGCTGGGTTTTGAGATTTGTTTCTGAGTCTCTGGGATCATGGTCAGTAATCAGCTTGATCAGGAGCCAGAGAGACCATTTGTAGGTGGCGACTCGGGGTATCATTGGGATGGGGAGGAAAGGGCCAGTTTCACCCCCATCTGGTGAGGCCCCGTGTATCTTGTCACTGCAGGCCCAAACCTGCCTGTCCAGTGCACTCTGGAGGACGGCAGTCACTGGGCCGCCAGGGGGAACAGTCAAGTCATGAAACCTATTCCCACCTGGAATGGTCCAGTGCCAGTAACCTACTGCAGGAACAGGACGTATTTCTGCCAAAAGCCTTTGGGTTCCGAGATTCATCTCTAAGTCTCTGAAATCATGGCCATT